CTGACGCACATAAATCACACGCACCAGTTGTCGCCCCAATAAAAAAAACCAAACCAAGAGCAGCCACGCCAAGAACCAAACCTGGATTAGGACTAACCCCACAACAACTTAACCACCAAGGAATTTAAGGCTTGTTTGGATGTGCTTTTTAAACGACTAAAAGCGTTTTTAGTGAAAATATTTTTGGAACAAATTCTTAGTAAAAATGCAAGTAAACCCTAAAAAAGCACTTCAAGTGCTTCCTAAAAGAAGCATATAACTGATGCTTCTTGAATAAAACACTTCAAGTGCTTCTGAAACTTAAAACCATTTTTTTCAAAAACGTTTTTAATCTTTTGAAAATCACATTCAAACGAACCCTTAGATGTTTGTAATTGTATACACATTGGTTCTATTATTATTTTACAAGGTCTGAGCTTTTTTATTTCTTAAATTTCCAACTTGAATAATTATTATCTTGTTATAGATTAAAAGAAACATTTTTATTTAGTTATAGTCAAATGTCTAGAAGGGCTTGACAAAAATACTTTTTTTTTAACAAATTGACAAAAACACTTTGAATAACTATTTGTAAAAATGTCACTTAGTACTACGGTCTAGTGGTATTCATCTTCACTTATAAGTGAGATGTCTTAGTTTCAATTCTTGCCAAAGGCGAATTTGAACCACATTATTGCTAGCTCATTGTGAGACTAAGTCAACCCCCTCCTCCTTAGTGTAGATAATATCGTTTGTTGAAAAAGAAATATTGGTAAAAAAATTTTAAAAAAAAAAACTAATTTCCATCAACATTTGAGCAGCATGTAAATAAAGACCTACGTAATTGTTAAAAAAAAAAAGAATTAGACCAAAATTTTTAATATAATAAATAAAGAATTGCATAGTCAATTGCGCGGTGGAAGCCATCTCTAACTAGGATCCTGAAGATCCTTCAATCGCGTCTGTTCATGGTAAATGTTACATTGCCACATAAATATTACTTCGAAAACTATTGGAAACGAAAAACGCCAAATTTCACAAACCCTATAAACAAAAAACCCCAATTCAAGAAACGAAACCAATATTAATTTGAAAACTAATTCGAAGCAAAACATTGTATTTGAAAGTAATTCAAAAGAATCAACAATTACTCGATTAGGGCTCAAGATTCGCTCGATTCAAAGAGATAATCGAAGACAAAAGTAGCATATTGACTGATTATGGGTTACTAGGTCGTAAGTGGTGACAATGGTGTAGTGGATGGTGACTGAAGAGGGTTGTCGTGGACTCATGGCTAACGGGAGTTGAGGTTCAAGACTGAGATTCGAGAGTTCAATTCAAGAGAGAGAGCAACTGCTTCGATTTGAGCTTTCGAGAATTAGAGTGTCTAATTTAGGGTTGAGAAAAACATTGGACGACCGAGATTAAATCTCAGTTGATATAAGTCATCAAGTTTCTAAATTTAATTTAAAATAATATATATATATATGCATTTATATTTTAACTTTTATTTTAGTTTGGGATTAAATCCTACTGTTGTTAATTATTGTATTTCTTTTTAGTCATATACAATTATTAAATTACTCTTTTTCTTATCGTATAACGGGTTACTCACGTGTATACCTGGACTGACTAGTTGTCTAACAGGTGCTTATTAGGTTACCCGATAATGACCTGATTCGTTAACGTGTCGACCCGAAAACCTGTTAATTTCGTGTCATGTCGTGTCGAGTTAACAGGTCGTGTCAGAAATTACCAAGCCTAAGAAAGAGGGGATTAAAAGATAGATTCAGAGAACTCTTGCCCCATTATTAAAGAATTCCGTTTTTTTTTTTCAATCGGTGAAGATGCCCCGGGCTTCTTCTTCATGGAAAAAGATGAGGTTTTAAAACCCTAAAATTAATTTACATTGAATTCTTAAGCATCTCCTTGATTGACAAGAAAGCTTCTCAATGGCTTGTTAAGGTTTCATAATATAAAACAAAAGAACTAATGAAAGGAAGATGGTACTCTATTTGCAATAGGACTCTTTTCCAACAAAGTAAAATAAAATAAAATAAAATATGTTATATAAATTTATGTTAATTTATTCCAAAATATTGCTACATCACTTATTAATTTAAGGATAATACTAGAAAAACTAAATTTATAGACAAAATTTGTAAACTAAATGATGTATGACCAATAAGAATGAGCACGTTGATTAACACTTAAATAATAATCCAATTATTAATTTCCATGTTATTTAGTTTACAATATTTTGTCGACAAATTTAGTCTCCCTAGCATTACAGGTAATTTAATGACAGTCATCTTAACTTTTAATCATGACCATAAGATGTAATAAGATCCAAGAGCTAATAAGAAGTGTAAAAATATATAAATATTTGTCCTTTGATTCTATTTATCCCCTGTGTGTGTGTATATATACATATTCAAATATGTATAGTGATGTCACTTAGGACACACATATAGTGATCCTATTAATTGTTTTTCTTAGATTTAGAGGAGATTAAGGACAATATACGTAACCCACCATCATCGACAAACCAAAAGAGGCAGGTCGTCATAGACTAGTGTCTCTTTATACATGTTCATGTATGATTGTAGCTTGTAATTTAAGCTAAGACTCTCAATTTTGGGTACAAATTAGGCCAATAACATTAGATCATGCGTGATAACACAATACTTTTTAGTTGATAGAACAATGATATGTAACATGAAGGCCACAACACTTTAGTTTGACATACTAATCTAAAAGAGGGAGATTTTTGAGAAGTGGATTGAAAAAGAAAAATTTAATCACCAGAATAATTCATGAATTACACTATTATCTTTCTTTATGCAATATAGAAAAATATAAAAAATACGGATCTGATGCCAGTCGAAAGTACCTGATAGACTATAACAACATTGATCGCCATAGCAATTTGCGGACGAAAGAAAGAGCAAAGATTTTGGCTTGGTTTTGCTTTAGGTAGCGGAGAGGAGGAATGGCAATTTTGTGATGTAGTCACTGCAGAGACGAGGCAAAAGTAGTTGGGCATTATTGGAGTATTGGTCATTTTTTCTTAAAGGAACTTTAACGAAAAACTTTCAGTATTATTTACTTTAACAAAAAATTATATTTTTACACTAAAACATCAATCATGTTACTATTTACTTACCATTTATTTTGTCTTTATTATTAAAACTCAAAGCTTTTTTCTTAGTACTTCTGCTCACCACTCACCATCAATACATGGACCCACATTAATTTTTATCATAAATATCGCATAGCTGATACACATGATGTACTGTGGCTGACACGCATAGGTCCCACACACCAGCTAGGACGGCCTTGACAATTTGGAACCATATGTGAGCTTTCGAAGTAGGTCCTTAAGTTATCTAACTTCCAATTTTTTGTATATTTTTTTATGGAAAAAGATATATTTACCTTAAGGGTATGACATTTTAGAGGAATATGCTAAACCTCACAATAGGCTAATAATAATATAGTTTAAATTCACTTTTGCTAAAAATCGAATCTAAGATCTCTCACTTATAAGTGAAAAAAAATATCACTAGAACGTAGTACCAAGTATCGGTTCTTTGTACATTAATATGTATAAAAAAGGATTCGTTAAATACATAAAAATTTTATTTCTACATCAAATATCATTAAAAATTAATATCAAAAGAAGATATATATACAACCATTACTTTAATATTATACATTTCACGTTTCTTGGTCAAATAAATTAGGTTACTTAAAAAAAAGAGTTCATCTCAGTTTACTATCTGAAGTTTTTTTGTTTTCAACATTTGGTCCATGAATTTTTTTTATTCCAGAGTGGTACCTAAAATCATAATTTTATGACACTTTTATACATCCGTTAATGTTACTATTAAATCAATCGTTAACTGATGACGTGGTGCTCATGTATATAATAAATAGATGTCACGTGTCAATATGGGGCCACGAATTAAAAAAGTAAAAAAATAAAAAAAAATAAAAATTTTGGTCATCTTCTACCTCCCTCCCTCCCTTCCTTCTTCCTCTCTTCTCTCCTCTGCACCCACCCACCCAACCCTCATCTCCTATCCGACGGCCCCACCTACTAGATCCAATCGTGAGCGTGAATCGATGACTTAGTCTGTCTTGGGCTATTGCTCTAAGTTATGGCGATCAAGGAGGTCAGTGACGAAGCACTGACGTCATGGTCTGAATCGAAGGCGACATCAGAACCAGTCGCAATCGGAAAAGCTCCGGGGATCGAAAGGATCTGCGATGAAAGGGTTGTAGTTTTGGTTGGCACCCCGTGGTTCTCCATCGCCGTCAAATATGGTAGAGGGGGCCGAAGGTTTGAGCTCACAAGGTCGTCGAAGAGAAGAGGAGGTTGGGTGGGTGGAGTCAAAAAGGGAGGGGGAAGGGTGGATGTGGGAGTCGAAGAGGAGATAAGGGTTGGGCGGGTTGCTACATAGGAGAGAAGGAAGGAAGGAGGGTTGGGGAGGTAGAAGACGACCAAAAAAAATATTTTTTAGTTTTTTTTTTAATTTTTTAATATCTACATGGCCATATTGATGAATTTTTTTTTATTGTGATAAGAACACGAATGATACATCACTTATTTTTATATAAGTGGTGAAAATTTTTAATATTTAAGTTATTAATTTTTTAACACACAAATTCCGCCATTTATATAATGACACTTGATGTACTATTTTATATTCCAATCATACTTAAAAATCTCTCTATATTGACACGTACCGCTCAATTATTATCACTTGAATGTCACATCATCAATTAAGGTGCATATTTAAATGTTAAGAAAACCGATAAATTAAAATAGGGATGTGATATCCCCACACCCTGTTTTACTTTTCTCACACCTTTTTAATTTTCGGCCGTCGGATCGGATGAATTGAAAAAGATCAATAAATAGAAATTAACAAAAGATGTGTGTGGATAACACATCCCATTAAAATACGCAACTTTCAAAAGAAAAGAATAAAAAAGTTAAGAAACTAAAACACGCATCTTCTACAGTAAAGTAAGCCACAAAGAAATTAACAAATAATATATAGTCAGAAATGCTGCCGTCCCTCTCCTCTATTGATTAGCTGCTTGTTTTACAAGATCTATTTTCCCCGGAGACACCAACAATGACCGATTTTATGGCTCTAAGTTCCTCCTTTTCTGGCGATTCTGGTTCTCATGAATACCTCTATGACGTTTTCTTGAGTTTCAGAGGTGGAGATACGCGCAAGAATTTTGTCGACCACGTCTATGCTGCTTTGGAGAAAGAAGGCTTTTTAATCTTCCGAGATGGGGATGAATTGGAGAGAGGAGAAGATATCAAGTCGGAGTTGATGAGAGCCATCCGTAAGTCCCGATGCTCGATCGTTGTGTTTTCAGAAGGCTACGCATCTTCCAGATGGTGCCTTGACGAGCTTGTAATGATCCTTGAATGCAAGAGGAAGTTCGACCAATTTGTCTTCCCAGTCTTCTACGGAGTGGACCCTTCTCATGTGAGGGACCAGAAAGGAAGTGTTGCGGAAGCATTTGATAGGCACGTAAAAAGCCAACCGTTGGACAAGGTGAAGCGATGGAAGTCAGCACTTACAGAGGCTGCAAATATTTCAGGGATGGTCATGCTAAATCAAGCTGATTGGTAACTACAATTCTACTTTTTTCCATTTTGGTGGTATTGTTTTGAGATCATTTTTGTGCAGACATGAAAAAATTTATATATGAAAATTAAAACTTTTAATTAGTGATTGCATGTTTCTTTACATGTATAATATTATCAGTTCCTTTTGCATTTCATTGTATCATTTGAACAAGAATTATAAGTAGGAAACTAGATTATAATCCCTAAATCAGATCTCTTTTTCATTAAAGTTGGGTGTTCGATTAAATACTGATTTGGGTCTTTGACTTTATATATCACCAAAAATCTAGCTAATAATTATTAACTATTGTTTTTGTTTTGTTTTGAGTATTATAAATAGAAGATTTTTACTTAATGTGTATTCAATAGGGGTAAAAAAATTGATTTAAGTGGTAACAATAAGTATGTGTTTATGTACACGTATATATATGTGTGTATAATTTGTGTACCTATTTACATAAATATATATTTGTGTACCGATATATATATATATATATATATATATGCACATATATATGTACAAATTTGTATACCTATATATATGAACCTTGTATATATGTGTACTTATATATATGCACCTACTTATTTATGTACCTTTATGGTGTATATTTTTTATTGCGTCTCTCATATTAGTTCATTTGTTTGGTTTTGTAATTGTCTGTACAAATTTTTATATACAAGTTAATTTTCATTAGCAAAATGTTATAAAAAATCTTCTATTTTAAAGTGGTAAATTTGATTTGCAGAAATAAAAATTCCTATTTTGAAGGCCTAATTGATGATTAAATTAGGAATTTTAGAAACAAAGTTTGAAAATAATAAAAGTGGATAGGGGTATTTAATATGACGTGATAATGAGTTTTAGATTTAAGAACTAAAATTAAATTTATAAAGCATCCTGGTTATAATGAAAAAGTAATCTTATGTAGGTCCTTAGGTCTGAATGCCCAATATATATATATGAAATTAAAACATTTTAGTAGCGACTGCATGTTTCTTTACAATGTATTATAGTTCCTTTTGCATTTCATTGTAAGACATTATAACGTATTTTCAGGTCATGTCCATATGATCATCTCCAATGGTGGGCTAAAAACCAAATTACCTCCCAAAATTTCCTCCCAAACCCAATCCAACCTAAGGAGAAAATTTGGGCTAAATGTTAAATGCTAAACCAAGGCCAGATTACCCCCAAAATTTAGCCCATAAATCGGAATTTAAAATTTTCAATATTTATCAAAATTTAAATTTTTTTAGATTAAAATGTTCTTAAAATTAATTTATGAAAGTATACATATTTATTTATTTTTTTTAAATTTAATTTATCCACAAAAATAGCCTAAGTTCATTATTTAATAATCCCGGGTTAAAATTTTAGGCTAGAACGGTTGAAGTAGAAAAGTTGTTTCTGGGTTAAAAACTAAATTTTTCGGACTAAAATATTTGGCTTTTAGCCTAACCATTCGAGATGGTCTTAAGACTAAATGCCCCAAATAATCTTATGGAGGTCCTCAAGTCCAAATGGCCCAAATATTCGTGAAGTTGTAGTTTTGTTCAAACGTATTTATCAGGTCATGTCATAAGACTTCATAACATGTTTGATTGCAATTTTCTAGGAACGCAAGCAAGTTTATCGAAGATCTTGTTGCAACGACTAAAGAAAGAGTACAACGAAGTCGCCCCTTTAGGATGAGCCCATACCTTGTTGGAATAGATTCACGTGTCAAAGACATTAATTCATGGCTACAAGATGAATACTCTGACATTGGCCTGCTTGTAGTTCATGGGACAAGTGGAATAGGGAAGACAACTATTGCAAAGTGTGCTTATAATTTAAACATGGCACGATTTTATCGAAGCAGTTTCCTTGAAAATATAAGTGAAACTTCACAGCTACCCAGTGGCTTACTGCATGTACAAGAAAGAGTTCTCTATGATATTTGTGGCAGAAAAGTGAAACTCAAGAATGTTAGTGAAGGAAAGTTTGAGATTGGACGTGCCGTATACTCTCAAAGATTTTTTCTTGTTCTCGATGGTTTGGAGAGTATGGATGAATTTGATGCTGTAACATGTGGGTTGAAAGAAGCAAGGTTTGGAAGTAAAATCATCATAACAACTACAAATGCAAGGGTGCTAAGCGCTGCTCTGGAATTTGGTTATAAGGTGTGTACTGTTGGAATTTTGAACGACAATGAATCGTTGGAGCTCTTCTGTTGGCATGCTTTTAAACAATTCCAGCCAATTGAAGGTTACATGGAACGTTCAAAAAGTATAGTACAATACTGCGGAGGGCTTCCATTAGCTCTTGCTATTCTCGGTTCTTCACTATCGGGCCGAAGTATAGATGCATGGGAAAGCACATTGAAGGAACTGAAAACTATTCCAGATTCCTCGATCATGAGAACACTCAAAATAAGCTACGATTCTTTGTATGATCATGAACGAGCGCTGTTCCTCCATATTGCGTGTTTCTTTGTTGGAATTGACAGAGATTACATTGTTAGCATACTCCACGGGTGTGACTTCGACATAATTGCTGCCATGGAAAGTCTCATTGAAAAATGCTTGCTAACAATTGATAGAGATAATAAGGTGTATATGCATCGCTTGATTCTTGACGTGGGAAGAGAAATTGCACGCCAAGAGGCAAGGAAGCCTGGGAAACGTAGTAGAATGTGCCGTGAAAAAGATTCTTTTCAAGTATTGACAGAAAAAAATGTAAGAACCATGCTGCCTTTAGATACGTGATTATATTTATATTTATATTTTTATGCATACCACTTTGCAGTTGTCCAAAGGTTTTCTATGTGCTATGAGCACGAACCGATATACTATATGCCATAATATTAGTGGTAAAGAATATTTTTTTTTAATGTCATTCTATTTGTATTATGACAGGTGATGTATCGGTTCATATTCATACTCTACTATTTTATTTTATTTTATTTTTTTAAAGAAACGTAACGATTTTGATTTGTTTGATCAAGAAATTAAGGTGCATATTTAAATTTTAGGAAAACCAAGAAATTAAAATACGCAACTTTCAAAAGAAGAAACTACTGCTTGTCCATATTCCTTTCTTCATCAATGAATATCGTACTTGAACTAAAAAATACGCATCTTTTATAATAAAGTAAGCCACGAAGAAAGAAATAATATATAGTCAGAAATGTTGGCCTCCATTGATTAGCTGCTTGTTTTACTAGATCAATTTTCCACCGGAGACATCAGCAACGGACGATTTGATGACTCTAACTTCCTCCTCTTCCAGCAATTCTCGTTCTCAATACCTCTATGACGTTTTCTTGAGTTTCAGAGGTGAAGACACTCGCGAAAATTTTGTCGACCACCTCTATGCTGCTTTGAAGAAAGAAGGCCTATTAGCCTTTCGAGACGACAATGAACTTGAGAGAGGAGAAGATGTGGAGCCGAGGTTGCTGAGAACCATCCGTAAGTCCCGATGCTCGATCGTTGTGTTTTCAGAAGGCTATGCATCTTCCAGATGGTGCCTTGACGAGCTTGTAATGATCCTTGAATGCAAGAGGACCTTCGACCAATTTGTCTTACCAGTCTTCTACGGAGTGGACCCTTCTGATGTGAGGAAGCAGACAGAAAGTATTGCGAAAGCATTTGCCAGGCACGAAAAAGGTCAACCGTTGGACAAGGTGAAGGTATGGAGGGCAGCCCTTACAGAGGCTGCAAATATAGGAGGGACGATGTTGCAAATTGAAGCTGATTGGTAACTACAATTCAACTTCTTCTATTACATTGATTAAAACCTTATTTCTTTTTAATTTTTTATCAAGGTCTCTAGCTTTTAATGAACGTCATTATTTCAGTTATAAATTATTTACATATCAACGTAATTAAATTTTATTTCTAAATATATTCATTTAGTGTTAGAAACGTTACATTTGTTTATTTATATTTATGGTTAAACTTTGTATCATATATTTCTACTTTTAGTTTGTACTATTTTTAATTTGTACCAATTTTTTTTTTTAATTTGTATCCATATATTAATTTCATTTTGTACCTATATTTTTAAAAATTTTATTTGTACTAATTTATTTATAATGTACCCATTTTTCTTTATAAATGTGCCTTGTCTGTCAAATCAAATGTATAATTTTTTTTTTTTTTTTGGTGTGTGTGTGTAAATGTACCCTTTTTTTTTTATGTAAAATGTACCCTTTTTTTTAATGTAAAATCGATTATTTTTTATTTTGTTGTATGAGCCTAGCCATACCTCCATGACATATATTGGACTTCGGGTTGGTTTGGTATTGCTGTGCTTTGAAAAAAAAACTGTTTCTGCTGTGCTGTGAGAATAAGCGGCTGCGAAATAAAGTTATAGAGTGTTTGGTAAACTTTTTTGTAAAAATGCTTTTGAAAAAAAAAAAGCACTATTATAGTATTTGGTAAAATTTTATGTAAAACAGATGTGAAAAAAAACAATTTTTCAAAGCTGAGTTTTGCAGCTTCTTGTTTTTGGCTTTTTTTCCCCAAAAACTATGAAAAAAAGCTGAAGTTGAATGTTTACCAAACACAAAAAAGCTCCCAGCTTTTTTTGATACCAACTTTTTACAGAATCACCGCACTACCAAACCAGGCCTTCGTTTGTTGATATATTTGGTGCCAATTTTCAACTCTTTCATGTTGTCAACAATCAATTCCTTTTGCATTTCATTGCATTATTTGAACAAGAATTATAAGTTATTCATAAAGTTAAAGTTTTTGTTCAAAAGTATTTATCAGGACATCTCTATAAGATTTTATAACATGTTTGATTACAATTTTCTAGGCACGAACGCAAGTTTATCAAAAATCTTGTTGCAGCGACAACAGAAATACTACAAAGTCTCCTTATCCGACTTTGTCCTGTAGAGCTCAATGGATTTTTTGAAGAACTTCCTAAAGGATTAAAATGGTCGCGTTGGTTTGAATTTCCTTTGAATTCTATACCTGATGGTCTTACTTTGGACCGTCTGGTTGTTCTTGAAGCGAGGTATAGCAGCTGGAGACAAGTCTGGAAGGGGAGAAAGGTATTTCACTCTACCCTTGTAGTTTCATTTTTACAGTTTTTCATGATTAACTCAGCGTGCTTTCATTTTTGTTTTTATTTCTCACATCTTCTTATCTTTCCCACAGTATCTTCCATCATTGAAGATCCTAGATGTCTGCCATTCCCATAACCTTACTGAAGTCCCCGACTTGTCACTAGTCCCCAACCTAGAGAAACTGATTCTTAACAATTGTAAAAACTTGGTTGGTATCCATGGATCTATTGGAAAGTTAGAGAGACTTGTTTACTTGAACATAAAAGGTTGCAAGCGTATTCGGAAGTTTCCCAAGCACATGCCAGAAAACCTTGAAACAATTATAACACATGGTTGCTCAAATCTTGAGGAGTTTAGAATTATGCAGTCGAAGATGATGATGCATCTGAAAGCTCTTGACGCAGATGAAGCTCATATTAGTGGATTAGTTTATGGGGCACACAAATCAGGGCGCACGTTTTGGGACTGGTTCAATAAAAATACAAAGCTCATAGTTCATGTAAACATTCCTCATTTGTTACGCGGGTGTGAGAAGTTTATGAAGCTAATTATACAGCAATATCATGCTGCTACTAACAATCAGAAATTGAAATGGCTGAACCACAAATATTCAGGGGTGCAAAATCTAAAGCTGATTCCTTCAGTAACAGTAAGTCTGCATAAATTATCCAAGGTTGCGGACTCTTATTCTGCTGGCACCACATACAGAGACCTTATTTCATGCCAGGGTTCTAAGATAGTGGAGGACGTGAATTTGGAAGAAAAGGCTGGGTGTGAAATAGAGGTTGCAGATGTAGAAGATGAGGGTTTAACTGAATCTCTAAAATCCTCATTATTTCTTTATTGTTCCCTTTTTCCATTAGATTATGAATTTAGGAAATATGAGTTGGTTCAGTTATGGATAGCTGAAGGCTTTATTGGAGAGATGCACAGAGAGAGAATGGAGGATACTGGTATTTTGTATTTCGATTTCATGGAGAGTGAAGGCTTTTTTGTGCCCTCAAGAAGTGATTTCAGTGTAGATTTTGATTCAGTGTTCTCACTGCCCATTTATAATCCCAGCAACTTCTTGTACAAGATTAATACTATCAAGCTTTCAGTTTTGGAAAAACAAATTTACCAGGATGGTTATTTCAGAGCTGTGGATGGTAAGTTAGATGGAGCTTCAGAAATGACACAACATTTGTCTCTGATTTTTAAAAATATGGATGAGGTGGGTGGGGTTCTCCAAAAGTTTAAGCGTCTTCGCACGTTGCTTTTGTTCAATGGTAGCAGGTCTTCCATTAAACAAGTTCCTCGTAATCTTTTGTCGGGCTTAAAGTTGTTGAGGACATTGAATTTGAGTGGAACTCTCATCTCTGAACTACCGAGTTCCATTCGAAATGTCAAAGCATTGCGCTATCTTGATGTTTCTCACACTCCCATTAGGCAGTTGCCCGAAGCAATCGATTCTCTTCACAATTTACAGACCATAAAACTGAGAGGTTGTGTTAACTTTGTTCAGTTACCGAAGGGCATCAAGAAGCTAACCAACCTACGCCATGTCGAACTTGATATCATTCGGCAATTGGATTCCTTGCCTGCATACTTGGGAAACTTGACTAACCTGCAGACTCTGTCAGCATTTCTCGTCGGTAGAGATCAGGGGTGCAATATTGGAGAGCTGAAGAATTTGAATCATCTCAAAGGAGCACTTCGCATTTCAAGGCTCGAAAACGTGTTGACTAAGGAAGAGGCTGAGAAAGCTTCATTGAGTACAAAGAAATCCCTCCAGAGAGTGGTTCTCCGGTGGAGTAGTCTGTTGGTTGAGAATGTACGGGAAAAGGAAATCCTTGAATGTCTGCAACCTCATTATGGTCTTCAAGAGCTAGGAATTCAAAACTATAGTGGCTCAACTCTTCCAGCTTGGATTAGCAATCGGGCTTTTGCAGACCTTCTTGTTGTTACTCTCTACAGATGCAAAAATTGTAAACGTCTTCCATCTTTGGGGCAGTTACCAGCGCTTAAGTTTCTCTCCATTATTGAAATGAATGAGGTGGAAGAAATTCATCATCATTTATTCAGAAATGACGGAGTTGCTCAAGAGGACCCTGCATTTCTGAAACTTGAGAGGCTAGAGATTGATATCATGCTTAATTTGAAAGAGTGGATGGCGATAAAACAAGGTGATTTACCGTCTCTACTTAAACTCACGGTGGACTCTTGCCCGGAGCTTGTCACTCTTCCTTCACTTTCAGAACTCAAATCCCTCAAGCATTTGGAGTTCAGACACTGCCCAAAGCTTCTGCCCTTGTCTCAAGATGGACTACCTACCTCACTTGAGTCTTTAGTAATTATATGTTGTCCTCAACTGAAAGAATGGTGCACGAAGAGGGGAGGTCAAGATCAGGACAACCTATCGCATGTGCCTAGAGTATGGTTGGATCATGAAGAGGTAGGTAAAAGAAAACTGAAACCTTTTTACTTCTGTTCAGTTCATCTGAAAAAATGAAACCAAAAGTTAGTAGTTACAGCCAAAAAAAAAAGGTTGTACTCTTGTGTTCTTAATTCTTTGTTTTTGCTCTGATTGGAATAATCTTTTACTGCTGTATTTTAGTTTTCTCCAACAAAATTACTCAAACGCATTCAGCATTCTTGTTTGTGTTTTTTATTTTTTGTTCTTGACATAGTTTTTGGAATTACACCTAAAATTTTAAGTGATTACTATGGCTGGTGGAGCAATTCTGTGACAAAGTGAATATTCTACACTTCTGGCTTTATATACATGGGAAAATCTTCTCTTGCCTAGTTGCCAAATTGTGAATTTGGATAACAATCAAGGTCGTATCAGTATCATGGTATGCTAGTTTACACAAACATTTCAGTCTAACAAAATACATGACTCTCGCTCTTGATGGTTAACTCGCTCCCTTGTTACAGTATGGATTTTGTGTTGATAATGTAAATATTTGTATCGATACTACTGAAGGTGTACAGATAGGATACAACAACAACAAAACATTTTCCCACTAAGTGAGGTCGGTTATATGAATCTTAGAACGCCATTGCACTTGGTTCTATGTCATGTCTTCCGTTATATCCAAGTTCTTTTCTTAGAGTCTCTTCCAAAGTCTTCCTAGGTCTTCCTCTACCCCTTCAGCCCTAGACCTCTGTCCCGTAATCACATCTTCTAATCGGAGCTTCGATAGGCCTTCGTCTCACATGTCCAAACCACCGTGTGAAACGAAGGCCTATTGAGGCCCGGTTAGAAGATGCGATTACAGGACAAAGGTTTTGGGCCGAAGGGGTATAGGAAGATTTAGGAAGACTTTCGAAGAGACTCTAAGAAAAGACTTAGTACTTGGATATAACGGAAGACATAACACAGAATCGAGCTTAATGGCGTTCTAGGATTCATACAACCGACCTCATTTAGTGGGAAAAGACTTTGTTGTTGTTGTTGTTGTTGTATCCTATCTATACACCATCAGCAGTATCGATACAGATAAGATGCTGATACATTTTGTTTTTAACTTGTTTTACCAATGTTATCAAAATTTTAATCGCCACCATATCGACAATCCATCCTTTACTAAAGACATTTTCGTAAATGCAGTTACATATTATTGTTAGCATTAACTGTTACAGCTGCCTCTGTGAAAGAAGTTTTCATAAGTGAAGTTTATTAAAATCCTACTTGCGAGCCATGTCTCACATTATATACTAAATGGTCTAACTTTGATTCGTGTTTAAAAGTGATTTCTGGATGGATTTGATTGCACGTGTCTAATTATTTAATGATCTTTGCAGCTAAAAATGCAAGGAGAACAATCTTTCAGTGACGCTTGAAGGGCTGGTTTCTGGTTGCTGGTTGATGGTAGATGGTTGTTGGTTGTTGGTTGCTGGTTGCTGGTTGCTGGTTGCTTGTAAAATGATTCTTGAAGTGTTGGTGGTGATATGTTGGAGTTAGCGGCTTCTTTTCACCAGTTGGGTGGCTGTTTATGGGGTTTGTTTTGTGTATTACGCTGTTTCAATTTGCTCAGTGCAGCTTGTTTTTTATTTTGATTTTTGTGGTTTGAGTTGTTGCTGCTTCTCTTGCCGCATTGTTGTTCATAACTTCATACAATCGCAAGCATGTGACTAGTATTTAGGCTTATTTTTAGCTATGCCACTTGTATTCTTCAACAAATCTCACTTTACCCCTAAACTCTATATTGTTTTACTTTACCACTTGCACCTTTCCTTTGTATCCCAATTTACATCCTACCGTCTATATTGTCTCACTTTAAAGGCTTTTTTAAATTTATTTGACAAAATAGGTTAAGTGGGACATTGAGGAAGAGTGTAAGTGTTAAAGTGAGACAATATAAAGTGTAGAGTGTAAAGTGAGACACGGAGGAAGAGTGCATGTCGTAAAGTGAGTCAACATAAAATGTAAGGGCTAAAGTGAGATTTGGTGAAAAGTATAGGTGTCATAACAAAAAATAAGCCAAGTATTTGTTAAGTTTACATTCTCTTGCAGCATTCTTGTTTTGTGTAATAAGTATTTGTAAATCGAATGTGGGATTCATTTGCTACGAATTCTTAGCATCTTTCAAATGCAGACTCCCGACAAGTAGTACTAGAATTTTTTACGGCCAATTTGAACTACATTGTGAATTGGTCTTGGACCTTATCTTACCCGATGATTAAGTGTTGGAATTTAGGGTTTTTATTTGAGTTATTGTTTTGGTTTTTCCTTTCTTAGGGTATTTTCGTTAGTTTGTTTATTAGGGTTTGCTTGAGGTATTACTAATCAAACAGTGCTTTGTATTAGGATGGGTTATTATACAAAATGGTCCTTAAGATTTGCATGATCAATATAAATGGTCCCTGAGATTGAAAATCAATAGAAATGGTTCATGAGATTGTCCATCATCTATGATTTTGGTCCTTCCGTTAAAAACTTTTTGGGCAATTTTCAAAACTTCGTAACTCAATCGATTCTTAACCAAATTCGACCAATAATATATCAAAATGAAGATAAGAAAGTGTAGAACAAGATTATACATATTTGGAAGCCCAATGATTGCTGGAGATGGCTGGAAAATAGCCAGAAAGATGACTGGTTCGCGGGAAAAATAGAAAACTCACCGGAAACTGGGTAAACTTTAAATATTCATAACTTCTTCAATACTCAATGAAATCGAGTGATTCAAAAACAAAAATCATACTTCTCGACTAAACAAAGAGAATGGTATCTTTCTTTACTGCTAACTCGTTGTGGTTTGGCAGAAAATTGCTCGAAAATGGTTAGCCACTTTTGAGTCGTCGTTTGACCAAAGCACGACGAGTTAGCCTTCGAAAAAGGTACCATTCTCTTCGTCTTGTCAATACGTATTATTTTTGTTTTTGAATCACTTGATTTGGTAGAGTAGTGAAGAAGTTATAAATATTTAAAGTTTACCCAGTTTCCGATGAGTTTTTCATTTTTCCCGCGAACCAATCATCTTTCTGGCTATTTTCCAGCTATTTCCAGCAATCATTGGGCTTCCAAATAGGTATAATCTTGTTTTACACTTTCTTATCTTCATTTTGATATATTATTGGTCAAATTTGGTTAAGAAACAATTGAGTTACAAAGCTTTGAAAATTGCCCAAAATCGTTTTTAACGGAAGGACCAAAATCATAGATGGTGGACAATCTCATGGACCATTTCTATTGATTTTCAATCTTAGGAACCATTTCTATTGATCATGCAAATCTTAGAACCATTTTGTATAATAACCCTTTTACCAAGTTGTTCAATAATATGTTTCTTTCCCGTACTGTTCATCTTGGTATCAAGAGCAAGTTCGTTGGACTTGTCTCTGAACCAGTGCGCTTAGCCTGAACATGTACCTACCTGATTCTAGAAAGTCATATCAGTGATCTCGTCTGCCTAGTACTAGATTACCACTCGCATCGCACCACTAGCCGGCTCGTACCATGAGAACATCACTGCATTGCACCGCTGTCGGTTCTCTGACGAAGCCCAGATCGCTGATCGCTCTACCTTGACGAACCCACATCTGTTGTTCCTTGCCGTCTCCATTCTACTATTCATTGTTCTACTTTAAAATGCCCGTCCAAACCAGACTTGTTGAAACCGCCCGACTTGACGCTGCTATTGCCTGATTAACCTGCACACTGTACACCACCCTCCACCAGATTTGAAATTGTACCCGCGTGCACAACCAACACATCAGGTATCTCTTTGACTATTTGTTACGATTGTCATTGTGAATATGGCATCTTCAGAAGATGATTCCCTGCAAGCTATGGGTGTGAAGTTAAATGGAAATAATTATGTGTATTGGGTGTATGTGGTGAAGAACTTTCTAATCGGAAAAGGATTATGGGGCTAATTAGTTCTCAACATCCAAGGAAGTTTTGGGATCACTTAGCACAGTTGTATACCAAGAGAAACTTTTCGTTGTGATCGGAATACAGGTGGTACATCACGTGTTTTTATACAAGTGATGGGAAATTTCATTTTTTAAATTATAAACTTTTTAACACACATATTCCACCATTTGTATAGTGGCACGTGGTGTACCATCCCATGTTCCGGTTACACTGAAAAATCTCTCGTATACTAAGGCTAATTTTGCTAAGCAATATCAATTAGAAATGCAGATTCGTGCAATCCAGCAAGGTGATAAGAGTATTCAAGATTTTTATAATGAAATGACCAGTCTCTGGAACCAACTTGCATTGACTGAACCTAAAGGACTTGGTACTGTTGAGCTCTATATGTCTTGTGCAGTTTCTGATGCCTCTTAAAGATGAGTTTGAGACTCTCCGAAGCTCTATCCTACATCAAACTTCTTTTCCATCCGTTGATTATGTTCTTAATGAGTTACATGCTGAAAAGTTCGCGTGCAATCACAGTCGCATAGACTTTCTTCGCCTATGTAGAATTCTTCGGCATTGGTTGTGTCCGCTAGATCGAGAACTTGTAATAAAACTATTGTTGTTGGGGATGAGTGTGCTAACTACAAGGAAAAAGGGCATTGGAAAGAGGATTGTTTGTGGAAATTTAAGAAATCGCCTACAGCTGTTGATACTAATTCACCGAAAGTGTTGGCCGTGTTGACTTTAAAATTAGCTACAACTGACTGTGTCAACAACTTCGACTTTGGTTGGTGATGCATGCATGTCCTTGCCTGTCTGTCTACCTGTCTGCATAGCAAATGATGTTTGTTTGTTTGCTTGTCCACATAGCGAAGTCTGTTTGTCTGCTTGTCTGCCTGTCTGTCCGCCTAATGGAGCATGCATTCACATCTGCTTATTGGCAAATTCATGCCGTATACCGTCATGAGTTTGACGGTGGTGTTGGAATTTAGGGTTTTTATTTGAGTTATTGTTTTGGGTTTTTTCTTTGTTAGGGTATTTTCGTTATTTTGTTTATTAGGGTTTGCTTGAGGTTTCTATTTAAACAATGCTTTGTAGTAGGTTTTATCAAGTTGTTCAATAATATCTTTCTTTCCCGTACTGTTCATCTTTAAGATCATTGACCATCATGTAAGGTAAGCTCCAAGACTGCAATGGATTAGGGACGAGATATTCTTACTCCAGAGTATCGTATATTTTGAACTTTTTAACCATTAGATCCTTGATCCGAGATACAGTGACCAAGATCTAGAGCTCGTTTAGATGTGTTTTTCAAATGACTAAAAGTGCTTTTGGTAAAAATATTTTGAAAACAATCATTAGTAAAAATGCTAGTAAATTTTGGAAAAACACTTAAAGTGCTTCTTAGAAAAAGAACATAACTGGTGCTTCTTGCAGAAAGCACTTTAAGTGCTTTTGGAATCCAAAAATATTTTCTCTAAAAACACTTTCAATCATTTTAAAAGTACATCCAAGCGAACCCTTAACCTTTGAAACCTACTCTTGATCACTAGACATCATAGTTATCTGTTATAGAAGTTCTGAAATTCTCTTATGTATGTACAAAGACAGTTTTCATTGTAGCTAATTGCATAGAGGGTCACAAAATAAGTAAATGTTTTTTGGAGAGACACAAAAATAAGTTTGTTTCATAGCCAGTCCAGTATTTTTTGTAAAAATAGTTAAATACTTTTGGGTTAAACAAATTGGCTATAAGTTTATCTTGTTTGTCATAATATTTGGTGTGACAACAATTTTATTACGTTTTTAACTTGGTGTTATTAGTTTTTGCAAAAATAGTTTAAGAAAATTTAGTAAAAGTCAATAAAAACTCTTTTTTATTTTATTTTTTTTTTATTTTTAACAAACGATATTGTCTACACTAATAGGAATGGGTGGACTTAGCCTCACAATAGACTAGCAATATTTTCTACACTAATGAACCATATATCAACGGTCAGTTTTTATTTGGATCTAATCAATGAAATATTTTTGTTAATTAGGCATATCAATGAGAAATGTTATATGAGTTTCAAACCCATATAAATAGTTTTAAATTAATTTTTTTGCCCATATTAGATCTTCAAAAATTCATGATCATCTTTCCCAAAATAACCTCTCTTTTCTGCACGTGAAGATGAACCAAAATGCATCTATCTCTCTGATGTTAATGAATCAATGCAAGCCATGAATCCCAGAATTGAAAGCCTAGCAATAAAAATCTCTTTGGTCGTAGCAGTGAGCATGAAAATCTCATCGCTACCACTAAATTTGTCGGTCGATTGTTATATCTCATCGATTTGTCACTGAATTTCATTAATTCGTGGCTAATCCCATTGATTCTTGGCTGGACAAAAGGTTGTTAATCAACTATTATATTGAATCGATTCTTCAAATTCATTATTCAAGTTTTCACTCAATGTGTATAATCACTATTCTAAAAATCCACGTCTAGTGCCACATAAGCGTTAGGCTGCTAGCTATCGCCCAGATTAATCCCTATGCTTTGAAAATTAAGAAAGAGGAGCCTAAACGTGCTTATTAGGTGCTCATCTAGACCGCCGAAGTGCCCGCCTAGACAACCCTGCTAGGATGCAAGTCTCATTAAGACAGAAAGTAGATAACCTACATTTTTCATTTTATTTTTTTCAATATATTTGAAGAAATTTGTTGAATACTTGAATGAACACTCATTATATACTTTGATATCATGTTTTCAATATGTTCTAATACTTTATAATCTATAAGAAATTCATTTTGCAACTTATGTATCCAAATACAATTATTTATTTTTTTAAGTATAAGAAGACACTTATTTATCATATATATAATAGATTTATTCAAATCCGCTTAGTCTGCCTAGGCTCCTGCTTAATCATTTAGGTGCTAGGCTCCAGCCTGCCGCCCGACTAGTGCCTAGCGCTTAGCGTATTTTAGAATCTTATGTATAATATTTAGGCTTAATCTTAGTTTACTACCTTCAAGTTGCTTGGTTTTCAACATTTGGTATATAAAGTTTTTTCATCCTAGAGTGGTACTTGAAGTGAAAATTTTGAGATAATTTCATACATCCGTTAAGGTTGTTGTTAAGTCAGTCGTTAACTAATGACATGCAGGCTGGCCGATTTACGTCTCTGCAGTCAGCGGCCTCTCTCTTCCTCTTTCTGCTGCTCATGCTGGCTCTGCTGTTTTTTGAGTAGGCCCCATCGGTTTTCATGTGCCCTCAGATCCAGTGTGCAGGCTGGCTGCAGCCTTTTTTTACTTGCAGTCGCTGGTGTCGTGGGGAGCAGCATTGGTGCACATGTCAATCTCAGGCCAAGTGCGACTGGGTTTCCGGTCGAATCGTAGCGCTGACATCTGGGTTTGGGTTAGGTTGCAGAGAGAAAGGGGGGTTAGGAGAGGAATGGTGGAGGAGGTGGTGGTTATGGAGAGAAAGGAGGAGTCAAAGAAGAAATGGGGGGTTAAGATAGGTTTCGGTTTTTTTTTTCAAATTTTTAATTTAATTTTTTTTAATTTTTAATTTTTTGATATTCATGTGGACCCAAATTGACACGTGGCATTCAATCATTGTTCGCATGGGCGTCATGTCACCAGTTAACGGTTGACTTAATAATAGCCTTAATAGATGTATGAAACTATCCTAAAATTTTGACATTAGGTACCACTCTGGGATGAAAAAAGCTTCACGTAATAAATGTTAAAAACCAAGAAACTTGAGGATAATAAACTGAGATTAACCTTAATATTTATTATATTAACAATTTTGGTCCAAGTCTTTTTTTAATTTTAATACAAATATTTTCTACAACTATGTAAGTCTGTATTTAAATGCTTATTCAAATGTAGATGAAAATTACTTATTCAAAGTGTTTTTGTCAAGGCCTTCTAGACATTTGACTATAAGTAAATAAAAGTGTTTCTTGTAATCTATAACAAGAAAATAATTCAAGTTGGAAATTTAAAAAATAAAAAAGCTCAGATCGGGTAAAATAATAATAGAACCAATGTGTATACAACTACAGACATCTAAATTCATCGGTGGTTAAGTTGTTGTGGGTTTAGTTCTAACTCAGGTTTGATTCTTGACGTGGAATGTCCTCGTTTTTTTATGTCGCGACAACTGGGTGTGGGACTTGTGCGTGTCAGCCATAGTAGCTAACTAGTGCTTAATACCCGCGCGTTGCTGCGGGTTTGAAGTTAGATGAGATGTTAAAAATGAAAAACTTTCGGTTACAAAATAGGAACAACGATAACAACAATGAATTTGGAAAAGGTTAAATTTAGATAATATAAAGATACAAATTATAATCATCCATTATATTGTAGCAGTTCTATGTATTTTGGACCAGGAGGATTACATTCAGTTACAAAAAATAGAAATTCCTGGTACAAAGATACAAAAAACATTATAATAACTGAATTTCTTCTAATAACCACATCTAATATACTTTGTGTTCCAGCCTTTGCATACAAAAAACGAGGAGATGCTGTTGTGTGGGGATGCAAAAAACATTGTTGAGTTTTGGGCAAAAAAAGATATGTACAGGTTTTTAAACATGTTAAACATGATTTAATATAGATAAACAAAACACGGTAAACATTCTTGATCAGAGTAGTGAAAGGTGTCTTCAGGCCTTGTTGTCATTGATAAAGCAACCTGAACAAAGAGGAATAGAACAAAACATATTTAGATAGGAATTAGTATCACATGTAAATGGTAATGGTGGAAAAGATAAAACAACTTGAAAGCATACTAACCGAATCATTGTTTCCAGTGCTGTTGTGACGCTTTGCCTGAGTAGGAGGTGATTTTTTTTTTTTAATAACTTGATTGGAACCTCATCACATTCTCTTGGATCGACTTCTGAAATTTCTTCAGATTCACTGATTTGAATGATCATGCAACATTAATATAGTTGTTCACAGAAAGAAGAAAAGATGATTCCTAGTTATAATTCATATTATTGAAAATGTTTGATATGTACATTTTAAGAAAGTTGAAGTGAACACATGGAAATTTTTTAAAACATGATGTAAAAATATAAACATCATATTTGAGAATAGTATGAAATTAGATATCAAACCTTTGTTCACGAAAAGCGCTCTTCTCACAGATTCTCTTCTCACAAATCTGGATTAACTCATTCTTTTAAATATTTGTTGTCAGTTTTATTATTATTATTTTATCTTTTTTTGTGCGCACACTCTGCAGGAGACTCTGCATTCAAATGTTTTTATAATATTTTATTGTGTTCTGTGCAAGGTATTAAATATCGATGATATCGGAAATATCGGTAGTCTAAAAATACAGAAAATTCGATAGAAATATCGATATATTATCGATATCGATAAAAATTGAATAAAAACCACGGAAATTGTAAGAAAAACTTGGAAATTTTTATTGAAACTTTGCAGGATGTTTATTTAGTCAATTATCTATTAGTTTATCACAAAAAAATGGAAGGAAATGCATTGCATAATAGATATAACTTATTTAAGTTGATTATATAGGAGCTAGCAAATATTGTGAGTGTAGAAAATATGTAGTAATTAATGAAAAAGGTTTAAACACACCATAATCATTTATATATAATGAATTAGTACAATATTTTACACTTTATACATTGCATGGTAAGATACATGAGTGACTTAGCAAGGTCTAAAATATCGATGATATCAGAAATATCGGTAGTCCAAAAAATATCGATAATCCAAAAACACGGAAATTTTGATGAAAATATCGGGATATTATGGATATTTTAGACCATGGCTATGTGTGACAAATCCGTGCCACCTACTGCAGGAGACTCGGCGTGGAAGACAAAAAGTCAAGCAAAATAAAAAAATAAAATAATCAAAAGGCAAAGGAATATGGGGACAGGTGGGTTTCTCACAATTTTTAATAATTATTTTGTCCATGCATTCAATGTTTTTATAATTTTTTTATTGTGTTGTGCGCCACAAACCATGTGGCCTGATTTAAGTCATATTTTTTAAATAATTCTTTGTCAGTTTTTTAATTAATTATTTTATCTTTCTTTGTGCCACAACTCGACAATCATAGACATGGAACCTGGGAGGACAAAGGATGATCAACACGTGGCAATCATGGGCAATACAGGTATTTTACTGTGTGAAGCAGGCAGCAAAATGGTATGGACCGAAAAAATCAAAGGCATTTCCGCCCTTTTACTATTATTGAACAATGCTAAAACTCAACTGAGTTTTAGTATATATAATGTGTCAGCTATGCTATATTTATATACTAAAAATTAGTGTAGTGTCCAAATATTAAAAAAAATAACTTTAACGAAAAATTTTCGATACTGTTCATTTTAACGAAAAATAATATTTTACATTAAAAAATTAATCATGATACTATTCATTTTACCTTTTATTTTATCCTTATCGTTAACTCTTAAAATTTTCAAACAAATTTCATTAGTTTTCTTATTAAAAAATGCTTACTTGGTGCGCATCCCGACTTGATGGTTTCTTTTCCTCTCTCAAGTTCATCGTCGTCTCGGAAGGTTGAAAAGCCTTCTCCAAAGCAGCAAAGAGGTAGTCGACAAAATTCTCGCGAGTGTCTTCACCGTTGAAACTCAAGAAAACGTCATAGACGTGTGGAGAATCAGGATCGTCGAAAAAGGGGCAACTTAGAGCCATCAAATCGTTGATTGCCGGTGTCTCCGGAAGGAAATAGATATTGTTAAAACAAGCAGCTAATCAATGAAGGAGTGGGAGGCCAACATTTCTGACTTTATATTATTTGTTTCTTTGTGGCTTACTTTATTATAAAAAAAAACCCGAATTTTTTTAGGTTCAATATGATATTCGTTGATGCAGAAAAAAAAACGTAAAAACAACAGTTTCTTTACTCCGTTCTTTTGAAAGTTGTGTATTTTAATTTTTTTGTTTTCCTAAAATTTAAATATGCACCTTAATTTCTTGGTTAAACAAATCAAGACGGTTAGGTTTCTTTAAAAAATTAGTATTGTTTGAACATAGAACGATACATCATCTGTCATAATATAAAGAAAAGAACATTTGAAAAAAATATTTCACCACTTATGTTATGACATATAGTATATCAGTTTGTATTCTGGGCATGTAAAAACATCTCTTTTCCTCTTTTTATAATCTTTTTAATTAAAATTTGAATTAAAAATAGAGAACATGATTGAGTATGATCAAGGTCTAAAATATCGATATTATCCTGATATTTCCATCGAAATTTTTGTGTTTTTTGACTACCGATATTTCCGATATTATCGATATTTTAGATCTCGATAGGAACTCTATGTGGTATTAAATCACTCATGTATCTTACCATGTAATGTATAAATTGTAAAATCTTGTACTGATTCATTATATATTAATGATTATGGTGTGTTTAAATTTCTTTCATTAATTACTACATATTTTTTTGCACTCACAATATTTGCCAGCTCGCTATATAATCAACTTAAATCAATTAAATCCATCATCCAATGCATTTCCTGCCAATTTTTTGTAATAAACTAATAGATAATTGACTAAATAAATATCCTGTAAAGTTTCAATAAAAATTTCCAAGCTTTTGTTACAATTTCAGTAGTTTTTATTCAATTTTTATCGATATTGATAATATTCCGATATTTCCATCGAAATTTTCATATTTTTTAACTACCAATATTTTCGATATTATCGATATTTTAGACCTAAGTATAATCTTAAAATGTCAGTCAGTATCGATGCATCACAGGTTTGTGGTGGTGGCGAATAAAATGAATGACATCTACGCAAAAATCCATTAGTGTTGCTAATATTTAATACAAGTACCAACAACTTTTTCATTGGGATTCCAGCTGGGGTTTATTATATTTATTATCTTTATATATAAAGCCAACAACTTTTTTTGGAATCACAAATTTCATTAAAAAAATTTAGACAAAAATGCCCTTAAAACAAAAGAATTTCAAAAGCAACCCAAAATAATGCACCAAATAATGCAGGGGTATTTTAGTTATTTTAACAGTGTTTTTTTAATAATTAATTCTTTTTCTGTATTTTTTTTAAGTACATCACAATAAGCTAGCAATAATGTGATTCAATTAATTATTTATCAAATATTATTTTCTCTATTTTTAAACATGTTCAAAATATCTTAATAGAAGTTTAATACCGGTTATAAAAAATATCTTCGGCACATTCATAATAATGTAATTAAATTAATTGTCAAATGATTGTTTTTTTTTCTTTTTTTCTGAACAACCGATATTATCTACACTAAGGGGGAGGGAGTGGGCTTAGTCTCACAATGAGCTAGCAATAATGTGATTCAATCAGTTGTTTATTAAATATTATTTTCTCTATTCCTAATGTAAATTTAATATAATGTAGATGAAAATTGAAAGACCGATTTTATTATGTGAATTCAGCTACTTTAATTGGTTTGTGAGAGGTTTTTTCTAGTATGATCTAAGATTATTCATTTACTGCAAATATTTGACTTTCCTTTGTCAATTCACGCATATTAATACATTGAAAACATGTAGGTCGCGCTGTGATTCAAAAAAGGTCTTCTGCACACGCGTGAAGGCTAGTGACATCTAACAAGAACAAGGTAACTACTGCTAACTTTTGCCTTTTGTATTCTTCCATTTTCAAATTGGTTCAAACCTACTTTTACCTACTTTGATTATACTTAATGCTCATCCAATCATTGTTTATACATTTAACACGTCCTCTTACGTATAACTTAAGCTAAACACACGAAAGTTATGATATTGAGAGTTTTAACGAAACATTATTAGTATTGTTCACTTTTAATGAAAAATGACATTTTTATCTTTTCCTGGTACTATTCACTACACCTTTATGTGTCCCTTTTCATTAAAACTAAAATTTTTTTAGATTTTTCGTTAGTTTTCCTTATGATATTATTCTAGCACTAAAGCATCCATTCAAAAACTAATTGACCATAAAAGGGACCAAACGCGTTTTAGACTATAGTGAAAGCTTTAACTTTTTGGAGGTGCTAATTTAATCAAGGGAAAACTAATGAAAATGACTTGAAAACTTTGAGTTTTCACGATAAAGACAAAATAAAGGGTAAAGTGAATAGTACCAAAATTGACTTTTTAGTGTAAAAATGTGATTTTTCGTTAAAGTAAATAGTATCGAGAGCTTTTCGTTAAAGTTCCCTTTAATCAAATGTAAAGTAATGAACACTATTATGCTTTATCATGAAAGAAAAAGCCAAAGATTCTTTAGAAAGTTGAAATGGACATATAATCTTATTAATTAGGGAACTTTAATGAAAATGGCTTGTGCTAAGTTTATTTTAACAAAAAACTATGCTATAACTTTATTTAATGAAAAAGAATCAAAATTTAATTAAAAACCTTTAAATTTTAATAAAAACGACAAAAAAACTTAATTTTTAATGAAAATGACACAATTAAAAAAAAAAACTAATGCGCACACAGGACTAGGGATAGTAATGGTTCGGTTTGGAGACGGAAATGCTATATCCATCCCCATAACCACGAAAATTAACCATATCCATAACCGCAAATTAACCATTGGGGATTATCCATAACCATATCCACCAGTTAACGGATTTTCAATCTGTTATCGATTATATCCATCTTCGTCAAAAAATAAAAAAAAAATTATATTCATCCAATTGATGCACTATAAATTTTAGTAGTTGCAATTCCATCATTAAATAGAAACATCCAATTACAAAAAACATAACAATATATTTGAAGTTGTTTATGATAAGCCAATATGATAAATTGGTCCAATAAAGAGAAAAAGAGGACAAAAGCAAATACGAAAGGAAGACAAAACAAATTGATTCAATGAATTAATTTCTTGATAGAGAGAATCTTGAAGAAAGATGAATCTGATAAACTTGGAACATTTGATAATTGATATATAAAATGATTCAATGAATTAATTTGGTTGAGTATAACAATAAGAGTATTGAATTGATGAGGTTGTTGGTATGCCCCATGCATGATGTTTGGTGCATAATAAAGATAGTATAGGGTTTGATGCATGCATAATGAATTAGTATAGGGAGGGTTCAGTAAATTGAATAAAATTATATTATATATCAAATATATATACACACACACACACACACACACACACACAATATATTCAGGTCGAATTCAGGGACGGATATGGATTAGGGACCCGTATAACCATATCCAAAACCATAACTGAATAAAGTTTACGGTTTTTCCTCATATAAATACCATACCTGAATTTTCATATCCAATTCCAATCCATTCGGGCGGTTATCCACGGTTATCGGGTTTAACGGTTAAAATTGCTATCCCTACGCATGATCTGTACACTATTTATGAAACTGAATACTATTTATGAAATTGAAACTATTTATAAAACTAAACGGTAATATACTATTTATTGGTTTAATTTCATAAATAGTGTTTAGTTTTTTGTCTACTTTCATAAATAGTGTCTAGTTCTTGATCATGTTTCATAAATAATGCTTAGTTATTGGGTCCAATTTCATAAATAATGTATAGTAATTGGTACAGTTTCATTAATAGTATCTCTTTCTTGGTTCGGTTTTATAAATAGTGTCTAGTTATTGGTCTACTTTCATAAATAGTGCCTAGTTATTGGTCATGTTTCATAAATATTGTCTATTATTCTAGTTTCATAAATAGTGTATAGTCCAGTTTCATAAATAGTTTCCACCTATTGGTTTAGTTTTGGAAATAATGCCAAATTCTTGTTTTCGTTTCATAAATAGTGTCTACTTATTGGTCATGTTTCATAAATAGTGTCTACCTATTGATCTAGTTTCATAAATAGTGTCTACTTATTGGTGAAGTTTTATAAATAGTGTTTAATTTTTTGTTCAGTTTCATAAGGTTTGAAACTTAAACCCTTTTTAGTCTTGTAAAATCACTCATTGTGCCAAAAACGATGAACCAGAAGTGACTCTTTAGATCAAAACCTTGAGAAGATTATGTTCTTAGTAATTATATTTAAAAAACTGTTTTCAATTACCAAATTAAAATTTCCTCACCTTTTTCATATACCTACAATAATAAATGTAACTCTTCATCCAATTTCTTGAGCTTGAGTGTCATTTTGGAGAAATTTTTTCTTGTGTCCATAACACAAATGGTATACCACTATTATTATATAAGTGGTGGAAATGTTTATTTTTTATATTATTAATTTTTAACATAAGAATCTCACAACTTGTATAAAATGTATCATCCTGTGTTCTGGGCATATTGAAAAGTTTCTCATTATCATTACTACTATTGGAAAATAACACCACAAAAATAAAATAGGAGAATGTAATTCAATTCGAAGTATTTTTCTTATTTTAAGCAACAAAAAAACCATAAATGTAGTTGGCAATGGGACAAAAAGATAAGAGGAAAAAGTGGAGTGTTTGAAGTTGGGGAGGGGATTGGGGGGGGGGGGGGGGGGGGGGTATGCGCCCCAGCACAAGTTGGGTTTGTTAGGTTTTTTCTTTATTTTTATTTTATTTTTATTTTATTTAATCTTTCTTATTAGTCTTTTGTCCTTATTATTAAAATAAAGTTAGTGGGTGCTTTTTTTTTTATTAAAATGTAAAGATTTGAAGCTATTTTTATTAGTTTTCCTTATTAATTAAGGAAGATTATGGGCCCATGTACCAAAGGAGAAAATGGATGCTATCCGTTGATTGATGACAACTAGCTTAGGTTAGGTTGTACCTATGAAATTCGTTATAGGATAATGTTTGACTATTTAAGGATAAGAAAGAACTTCTACTAAAATTCATTTTGTTTGAATCACAAAGTTTTCTCATTTATAAATTGAATCGTTCATATTAAGAACCCTTTTGTAAAAATTGCCTCTACAAAAACTCAATTAAACCTAAGGTCATTTAGTCAATTTATTGTAGACAGACTGTTCCTAATGCTTTTACCAACTTTGTTCATCTGTTTTTGTACAACTC